TCAGAGTCCGCTGCTTAGATGGCAGTTGATAGCAGGCTGCTTGGCTAGTTAACTTTAGCACTAATTTACTTGTTTGTTCGTTTATTTTCCATCCGAACCAGATTCAGCAATTGTCACATTTAGCTTTGTGGACTATTAAAGTGTCTGCCCGAGGTTGGCTCATCAAATAAATAGTTGTCTATTTCACATTACAGCTTTTATCCAGGAGCTTGAAGGAAACTGAAGTTTTGGAAAGCCATGGGAACTATACATCTTTAGTCAGCTGATGTTCAATATTGCTGTCTTGCTTTAGCAGTATATGTCCCTTAGTTAAAGTAAGAATGACCGGAGACTCTTGAACACAGACATTAATTAACCTCAGGGCAGTTATTGTGGGAAGCAAGACAAAGCCAATTTCAAGAACGACTCCAATAACTCCAGTCTTTACCTAAACTAGAGCAGGTATGTGGAGTTTCTTAGTTATGTTTTGGATTTGTAGGGAATCTGGACTCTTCTTAGTAAATCACAGTACGACAGTTTTGCTTATTTGGCACACACCAACTTGGAAAAACTTACCTTCAAGCGTCTCTGCTTTGCCACATAAGCATCCTTGAGCTCTGGGTTCTGCTCTGCCAGTTTCTTTAGCTCAGTTTGCGTGTTACCGATCTGTGCTGTCAAACGAAAACACAACATTATGTTAGAGAGAATGAACAATGCCTTGATTTTCATTACTAACACACTTAATTTACATAGAAAAGTTCATATATATTAACGTCAGTGTATGTCTCTATACTGCATCTTATTCAACATTTTTCCTTTCCTGCAACATTTAAATCTTTGATAATTCAGCTGTGCATTCAATAAGTATTAAGCATGCAAAGTAAAAATCAAAGGTGCTACGTTAATAGAACATTTAAATCTTTTGCATTGAGAGCAGTATAGTGTACCCCAAACTGAACATTTACTGTCTTCATGATACTATCGTTGCAAGGATCTCTGGGATATCGGATCTATTTGCAACAAGGGCTCATATTATGTACAAGGAGAATATGTAGAATCAAGGCTGTATAAAACCTCTGCAAATCATCTCAGCATGTCTTACTTCGTATACATGTGGCTGCATATGCAGGTATGTGGGAGTCCACTGTGATCTCAGGATGGAGGATGCAGCCATGGGTGTAGGCATCCATCTGTAGCGAGTCCAGCAGCTCTCTGTAGTGCTGCACTCTGTGATAGTAGGTACTGCCCTCTTCAGGGATGAGCTTTGGAGTGCCTGCCACAGACAAACATGTCAAGACAAGAAAGATGCAGTGATGAGAAAGTAACACTTTGTTGCTCTGTCCAAATGAAAAAAGGCAGAGGAGAAATTAATTTCCATCCCAACTAATAGAGAAAAAGAACAGGTTTGTACATGGGAGAACATATAAGAGATTACAGAAGGTATTCAAATAAAAGCTTTTTCATTCGCTGAAATAGCTCCATGCTTACCAGATTCTCTCTTCTTTTAGGGAACTGGATGAAACCCTTGAAAAACAGTTTTCATGGATCAGTGAAAGGAAACCAAGAAATAATAGAAAATTAAAAGAAATGACTGAATGACAAAAATCAACAAACACAAAATAAAAACGGTCAAACGTAAAGATGTCAAACTTATAGTGCAAAAAAAGAAAATTGTCAAAAGAGAAACAGTATTTTAAAAGAGTTCCACCTTTGAATGGTGCCTGATTGGAACTTGTCCCGCCCTCTACTTGGAGCAGCGAATGAGGGTTAAGGGCTGCAGAACTATCTCTATTTAATCCTACCTTCGTTGAAATTCTGCTCCAGGTAGTCCATGATCTGCGTCGGGTCACAGATGACGTTGTCATTGTGTACTAGGACCGGCACCTCACCCGTGGGATTCAGATGCATGAACCAGGGCTCGTTGTGTTCACTCAGAGGTAGGCTCACATCGTATTCCTCACACTTCAAACCTTTCTCTGCTATGGCCAGACGCACCTGTCAAACAACAACTACTGAATGAGTGTTCAAGGTAAGATGTATATGAGCTCATAACTATGACGCTAAATAGTACTTGAATCCATTTTTGGCTCTTGATCAAAAACAACTGGCATAATCAATCAAGCTCACTGAAATCATCTTCATTCTGAGTGTTTAGAAGAAAGACTGCAAACAGTAGACTACATCAAATAAGTATATCTACTCGTTATACTCTCTTGAAACTTTGCTATGAAGACAAAAAAAAGACAAAAACAAACTTTGTTCAGTAATCAGAACAACAGGGCGCCCGTAGCCTAGTGGTTAGTGCGTGCGCTGTAAGTACAGTACGCAGGCTAATTGTCCTCCAAGGGGGCGGCTCAGGTTTGAAACCGACCTGTGGCTCCATTCCTGAATGTCATTTCCCACTCTCTACATCCCTAATTGCCAACACTGTCCACTGTCCTTTCTCTACAATAAAGACACAAAAAGACCCAAAATATATATGTAAAAAAGTATTCAGAACAACAACATGCCAGCTTAAGTAGGCCTAATGTACTTCTGAACGAAGGAACAACTACCAAATACACATATATCTCAATGATAACACAATGGACAAAAAAATAATTCTACAATTCACCTAGAAGACGTTTTTATCCAAAGTGACGCACATCAGAGAAATCAAATATGTACACAGTGAATTAAAAAAAACATCCAGTGTTTGACAAGATGTCTGACATTAAATATGTAAAATTGTTTAAATGTATCCTACTGCTTGCAGTCTCTTTCAAATACTAAGAATGAGGGGAGTTTGTTTAATAAGGATTGGCTGAATGAGTGTTTTATTACAAATAAACTAATATGAAAACATATTACTCGTTGTATTAAATATATTAATAATTGGATCAATCCAAACATTGCATCTTCGCAACATAATAAATATTCGGAGGAAGTACGTTTGGAGAAATGACACACTATACCTAGGCTACATACATACACACACAAACTTTAATGAATCTGTCAGGACACAGTAAAAAAAAAAAAAAAAAAAAAAAAAAAAAAAAGCTGACATAAATGAAAATATAGAGTGTGTTTTATAAGTATTAACGGTGCTGATATTGGGCTTCTTTAATGTGGAACAGATCTGTCCAAAAAGAAAACCCAAAAAACAGAAGTTACCACAAGATGTCTAAAAACCTCTGAAACGATTTTAAATCAATCTAATAGGCCTACCAGTATTCCTGGGATTAAGAGCAATAACGCGATTTATAACCGTCCCATCAATGAAGACAGATTGTGGAACGATTGGTTCATGAAGCGAGATCAACCTCATTTTAACAGTCTGTAAATCAAAGCTCTGGTGGGGAGCTGTCCGTTGATTCGTGGTGCTGAAACGTGAAGACCTACCCACCTTCTGAGAATTGAAAGACTGCGTCCAGTGATAAAGCGTTAACTTGGACACGCTTTGCTTCGCAACTGTACTGCATTGCTGCTGCTGCACATCCTGTTCTGAGCTCGTCTCCAAAAGAGCTGCTTTCTCATCTTGGGTGTCACCAGGGCTGCTTTCGGACGCCATTTTATCTGTTAGTATTTTAGGGGACAAGTGAGGACAGCACACGAAAGGATCGTCAACAACATACACCCCCTATCGGCCCGGAGGAGAACATCTTGAACATCTTCCCTCTTCAACAAGTTGTTCACATTTCATTTTTATTGTATGGGGAAACTAATGTGTTATGCGATTTATAAGCCTTCTTACGGTAAGATAAGACAAACCCAATGAAGTTTTTATACGTCAAATCGTAGTCCTGCTTGATTCAAGTTGTTGTAACCATAGGCATTAGGCTATAATTCAAAATGTTCCTTTTTTAGGAACCATGCGCCATAAACTCGGTTATTAAAAAATACGTGTGTTTTTTTTAAAGTAAGTAGACCTCTACGTTTTGAAGTAGGCTATACATATTCACAATGTAAGACAAATGACAGAGAAACAACTACATTTCACACAAATACAACACATTACCATATTATAGCCTCGCAATGCATTCAGACAGCAGAGGTCGCTGTCATCTCTTCCTTCAATGAGTTATTTTTCAGTTCGCTCTGATAAGAAGTGAATTAATTATTAAAAGCCAAAAGTCATGTGAGGTGAAAATTAGTAACTATTTTCTAAAACGCAGTCTTGTTTTAAGAGGCATTGGCCTTTGCAATCATTAGACAGTTTGTTGTCCTTTTAACTTAACACAGGCTTACTGTTAGAGGGAAAGGAAGAATTCAGTGTAGCGTACACAATAAAGGCACTCATGTCACTTTTACATAGCCTACAAATCGCATGTAGGTTATTGGTGATAACCTGATAACACAGTCAGTATGTTTTATGTTAGAGCTATCTTGTGATAGCCTATCCACCCTCGGAATATAGGACGTTTGATTATTATGTAGGCGGATTATTAAATAGGCCTATGGGAGGCAAAATACAACAAATAACCATTTACTCAGTCTTGATAAGTAAGTCATTAGATATCAATGCTGTTGGCGTCAGAGTGTTTTTTTTAATTTATGAACAGACATGTAAAGTGAGGCGCGTTTTCAGACGTGTATACGAGTTTGGAAAGATATAGAGGTGTCTTATTTAGAGGTACTGAACATTTACGCTCCTCAAAGTGGTGGGAGAGAGAGAGAGAGAGATGAGAGAGCGAGAGATGAGAGAGAGAGAGAGAGAGATGAGAGTGGGAGGTCCCTGTGGCGTGACGTTGCGATTGGTCCGGTGTCTTTCTTTAGCATGGACTCGACGCTTGTCTCTCTCCCTCTGTGATCAGTGGGTGAGAGGGGGGAGACGAGCAACACACAGCGGAGAACCCGGCGTGCGCCACCGGTAAATGACGCCCACCATTCATACCTTCACACTTACCATTACGCATGCCTTTTTTGTATTGCATGTCAGTGTCTGGAAGTACCAACCTCTTTCCTCACCCCCCTATTTTTGTGCCCCTCTAGTCATCTTCTTGTCGGCTCATCCTTTCATCTCACCAACGGTCCTGGATCCCCTAACCACGGTCCTGGAGACGCCTGAGTCTGCAGCAGCGCACGATCTGCTCTATTCCCAGTCTGTATCTGAATGACGGGCGGAAGGTTTGACTTCGACGACGGCGGCACTTACTGCGGGGGGTGGGAGGATGGCAAAGCCCACGGACACGGCATCTGCACCGGACCCAAGGGCCAGGGCGAGTACGCCGGGTCCTGGTCGCACGGCTTTGAGATAGTAGGGGTGTATACCTGGCCCAGCGGGAATACCTACAAAGGCTACTGGTCCCAGGGGAAGCGACACGGGCTCGGCGTGGAGAATAAAGGCAAATGGATGTACCGCGGGGAGTGGAGTCACGGTTTTAAGGGTCGGTACGGAGTCCGACAGAGTCACAACACACCTGCTAGATATGACGGGACCTGGAGCAACGGGCTGCAGGATGGATATGGGATCGAAACCTATGGAGATGGCGGTAAGAAACTCTGTCTTATTTGTGTGTGTGTCGCTTTAACAGCGGTGCTTGATGTTGTGTTATGTAGCCTGTGTGTGTGTGTGTGTGAGAGAGAGTGAGAGGATGCTCGAAGTCCAACTGAGGGAGGCTAATGGAAATACATCGGTGCATGAATCTCCATCTGATATAAACTGACTGGAAGCTGAGATTGCGCACTGCGCACCGCGGTCAAGCATCATCATTAACTTCCCCAACCCCCCTCAAAGATATGATTTATCACTCTGGTGATGTTAACTTGCTGCACACAGTTAAAGAGATGGGCTCCTCTCTGATTCCAATGCCCAACTCATTTGGCAACAACCAGTTGCTCTTCATATGACAGAAGGAGGAGAGGGCATCCTGCCGCTAACTCTGTGGCAGCATGTCCCTACTCCAAGGAGCTTGAAAATCACAGCAACTCAGTCTGTAATGCCAATTATAGCAAGACAATCACCTACTCCTCATTCACTTTAAAAAGGTAACCTACACTGCAACCGCACACTTATTTCAAAGTGTATCTTTGCTTCAATCTCAACATTTCTAGTAAAAACATTGTCCTTAAGGCAAGTGTCAAAACCTTTCTAGAAAGTTAACAGAAGAGGTGAGTCTGCAATGAGAACTCGTGAAAATGTTTTTACACATGGGATACACTTTCCTTTATTTATAACTTTAAAACTTAAGATAGATATCTCCAAGGTATTTCAAATCAATAAACATTCATCAAGCATTCAGCCACGGTAAATTATACGAAGGACATACTCTTGGACTTTCTGGAACTGAGATGTCAGTGCAAGCCTCTCTTGGAACTTTGATCTCTGTAACCGGTGTTGTGTTCACAGATTGTCTCTAGACCGTTTTGATTAAGGTGTAAACATCCTGGTTGGCCCACAAACACAAGCACTTGCAAGCAATGCAGGTGGTTTACTACAAACCGTCCTCTGTGGTTATAAAACATCCCCGGTGATTTGTGAGCATCATCTCCCCTAACAGAGGCCTTATGGCGCAAGATAAATACTTCACATATGACAGTTCCAGAGGGGCCGGGCTTGGGAAATCAGCTGATCCTAGAGGATCTACAGAACATCTGGCCGTCTGACCCTGCAACATCCTGATAACTTGATCTGCAGGGTCACCAATTTGAACCGCAGCACAGAGCCAGCCTGTTAATCTCACACTGTTTATCCATCTAAATTCCTGCCGGGGGCTGGTATATCATTTTCTGTTCTACAATCAGACCATTACGGCTTATTTCATTGTGTTGCTCCATGCGATTGGAGTACAGGATTAACGAGCCTTTCTTATTATTAGGATTGGGATTGTAATATGATGCTCTGAAGAAGCTACAGTAGGCCAGCTCATGCTCATTGGGCTCAGCAGCACCAAATGGGATTAATGAAGTATTCCTCTCATTATGTGACTCATAGCGAATCCCTGCCGTCAGAGACAAATGGTGAATGTGCCTACTGTCAGTGGGGGAGTTAGAGGCTGCCTGAAAATAGGTTCCTAGCTGAGTGATTCACATTCATCCCAGGTGATCCTCAGTATCAGTACCTTAATCAAATATCTGTGATTGAGTTAGTTATGCTCACAGTTCCAGATCTGTGGGGAATGAGAGACAGCATGTCATTGGCAGACAGACTTTACTGCACCGCTGCACCCAGCAACAAATGAACTGTCAAACAAAATGCAAGGCAGAGGAAAAAGAGAACCCTGTCGATTTCCCTGAAAGTACATGAATAAGCAAAAGCTCACTACTGCTATGAAAGTTAACGTTTCTCTGGTGAAGCTATTCAGGCATGCATATCTTCAAATAATCGGCTTTGTTTTGGCACAGGTGCAAAAAAAAAAAAAAAAACTTCCCTTAAGAAATCTTCCATGAGGAGAACATTAAATTGTTTCTTTCTTTTTTTTTCAGTCCTCCTTGAAAGGTTTTCTCAATTCCCCCACTGCGGATATTTTCTAAGCTCGTACTCTGTTTCAGTAGATTTAGATAAAAGACAGTCCCTTTTTGGAAGTGGGCCCAGTGAGACCAGCAAGTCTGTACATATTAGCAACAGCAACAACAACAACACACACACACACACAAGAAGCAATTTCAGTGTCAATTGCGCTTTTTAATTATCATTTTGGAACTATTCCTTATTGTGCTTTATGATGCCTGCCAATTCTGGAGGTTTTTTATTTTCGATGAAACAGGGTAACACTATTCTGAACATGACATTTGAACATATTGTTGTTTCTGCAAGTCTAATACAAAACAAGCCTATGAAAATAGCTATGATGTTATAACAGTAGACCCACGAGGTTACAGTTTAAACTCATCACGATTCAGCCTGCCATACACTTACCATATTACATAAAGTAAATGACAGTGAAAAGGAGCCATACATTTTGAAAATTTGACTTGTTGAAAATCTTTAAAAAATATTTCTTATACCAAGTGTCATGTACATATTTTTATTTTTTTAAATATATTTAACTTTTAGTGTCTTAGTCTTTAGATTATTTACATACAGAAGAGGTAAAAAGCTATATATCTGCTACACAACTATCTTTGTTTTTCTATTTCTTTACTTTGAGCTTTCTTAGTCTGGTAAAGTTATTCATTTGAATTAAGTAGTTCCACAACTTTATTTTAATGTGCTTTAAGTTTAAACAGTTGTGACACTGTTTAGCATAGCCGGATGTTTACAGGAGTTGTAATTGAATAAGTCACTGACCCATGTCTGCTTGTCCCTCAGGTACCTATCAGGGCCAGTGGATGGGTGGGATGCGACATGGCTACGGCGTACGTCAGAGTGTTCCCTATGGCATGGCCACTGTTATCCGCTCTCCTCTGCGTACCTCTCTGGCCTCCCTGCGCTCTGAGCAGAGCAACGGCACGGTGCTCCAGGACCTCTCCTCCCCTGCGGACACGCCCACAGGCAGCCGTGGTGGCTTCGTCCTAAACTTCCACTCAGACAGCGAGGTCGTCACGGGCAAGAAGAAGGGCCTGTTCCGCCGCGGCTCGCTCTTCGGAAGCCTTAGGCAATTGCGTAAGTCTGACTCTCGGACCTCGATCTCCAGCAAACGCAGCTCCGCGCGAAGTGACGCTGCCATGAGCCGCATCAGCTCCAGTGACGCCAACTCTACCATATCCATCGGTGATGGCGAGCTGCCGGACGAGGACTTTCCCCTGGAGGACCATGTGGATGCCACCACAACCGAGACCTACATGGGCGAGTGGAAGAACGACAAGCGCAATGGATTTGGTGTTTCAGAGAGATCCAACGGGATGAAGTACGAGGGAGAATGGCTTAACAACAAGCGCCACGGTTATGGGTGCACGGTTTTCCCAGATGGCACCAAAGAAGAAGGGAAGTACAAAAATAACGTGCTGGTTCGTGGAATAAGGAAGCAGTTGATTCCTCTTAAGAACCCCAAAACCAAAGAGAAGGTGGATCGGGCTGTGGAGGGGGCACAGAGGGCTGCAGCCATTGCCAGGAGTAAAGTGGAAATAGCAGCTTCCAGGTACAGTGTGTACATGTTTTCATTCCTGCTTCTGTATGTGTGTGAGGGTGTTGGCTGTGTAAACATAAAAACACAAAGCGGACATTCAGAGCAGAATCAGAGCAGTGGCCTTTTTGACAAACATCTCCCGGTCTGATTGAAGGCTCAGTCTTGTGTGGACTCCTGTGACAACAGCGCCGACCTTTCTACCTCACCGGCGCTCAGGGCTTTTGTGTAGCCAGCGTGATCATCCCTGGAAAAAGTTCTGTTTCTATTCTCTGCCCATATCTGTCATTCCCAGGGAGAGGGGTGAGGCATCTTGTGTGAGGGCGTGTGTGAGAGAGATTCATGTGTGTCTATGAGTTTGTGTGCGTGAGAGCAGTATAGCCATACCTGAACCGTGCCAACTGCATCTCATGTGCCCAATAACGATACCTGCTCCTCCTGCCAGGCATTGCTCTGATGTGGCATCTGCTCTTTAACAGGTGGAGGAGATGTGACCTTTTCATTTAAAGCCTCCCTCCTACTGGGACACAGTTCAGCGTACGCAGCATCACTTTGACATCCTCTGTTTTCATTGCATCAGGGAATTATTAGTCTCAGGGCAGTGAGGATGTGTACAAGCTGTGAAAAGGTCTCTGTGCAATCAGGCAAGCTTTGATTTTATTTTGTGTTTTTACTCTCACTGTCTCCCAAGAGGTGCACCTTAAAAAAATATATACATATTTATAATTTCCAAAGAAAGGCATATTTATTGTGTTTCCATCCCTTGCAAACAGTCATTACAAAGAAATTAGGCTCTTGTACTATACAGTGGTAGTTATGAAGCAATGACTCAGACAATCAAATAATCAAAACACACATTATAAACTACAATCAAAGTTAATCAGTTAAATGAGTCTTTTATCCTGCTGAGCACAAATTAAACTGGAAATGTGTTCATATCGTGTAAAAACAAGAGTCTACGGGCATGCTCCCTGTTTGTTAGTTTGATCATTATGCTAATGTCAGAATGCCAACTTATTCACAGGGACAATATTAACGAGCTGATATTTTCCAGGTGAAACACTTACCTAATTCATCACTTCAGTTCACCTCGCTGGTTCTCTCTTTTGTTAACACTGAACACAATTCGCAGGTTTTTGGCCACAAAGATTGAACTAGTGATGCCTCTAAAACTTTAGGGGTCAGCAAAGATATTCTAATTCATCCTGTTGAGAACATGAACATCTGTGCCATTAGTTGTTCAGTTGTTGAGGCATTTTTAGTCAAAATCAAAGGAAATGTTGGGTGATCATCAAAGTTGTTATGAATCATCATTTTTCTCTGAAAATCCATGATGATCTTTTAGGTTTTTTGCATGAAAAATTAAAGATTTGACCTTCTGGTGGTGCTACAGTGAGACCCAGGGGTTCACCAATTTATTTCTTAATAGTCCTTTGAGGCACTATGAATCTCTTTTTTTTAAAGATTTATTTATGGGCTTTTTGGGCCTTTAATGAAGAGACAGGACAGTGGATAGAGTTGGAAATCAGGGAGAGAGTGGGGAATGATATGCAGGAAGGGAGCCACAGGCTGGATTTGAGCCTGAGCCGCCCACTTGGAGGACCATAGCCTCCATGCATGGGGCGTGCGCACTAACCACTGCGCCACCAGTGCCCAGGCACTATGACTCTCATTACCAAATTTCATGGCAGCCCATCCAAAAGTTGACTTAAAAAAGATGACAGTCAAGGGATTATAAATCAGGAGGGTTCCTCCTTTCATCCTTATTGGACCATGAATGTGTGGTCCAATAAGGATGAACTTGAGAAATCTCACTAAAAACATCCACATTTAATCCACATAATGGCACTTGGGAAAATCAGTGGATCACCTAAATTGGAGGGAGTTAAGCTCTGGGGGTCATGAATGGAATTTGTCCAATGGTTATCAAGATATTCTAGTCGAAGCCAAAGTGGTCGACCAACCAACAGACTTTGCCGTCTGTGGAGTCATAACTCTGAAGTGGCAAGACAACAATATTAAGATTCTTTGAATTCTTTTTAGAACGGCAGCACAATAATAGATCGTGACTTTATGCCCCGGTCAAAAATGGGTATCGTTATTTCCAGAATAAATGACAAATCTGTTAATCCATGTTTTCTATGAATACACAAATCTAATCTATTTAACTGATAAACAAAATGTACACTTGAAATATTATATAACACTGAAGATGATGAATAGGAGTATTTTGCCTCAGAGCTGAACCCAACCATTTACAGTAATACAGTAAGAATTAATTTGAATGGCTGTTTTTACTATAATATCCAAAAATTCTCTTAAAATGTAATAAATCCTTTCCAGCGGTTGGGGAGGAGAAAAGGCTTAATTCTGCAGATTTCAGGCATATAAGATTACATAAGGTGGATTTAAAATGCTAAATACTTAAAGTCCTGCATAGTGTTCAGTCCCCGGAGTGAAGAGAAAACTAGACACAGCGTTGAAAGGAGTCATAACAATGCATTAGAGCAACGGTTTAACAACAGAAGAAGAAAAGACGTGACCTGATGAATAGCGCTAAAGCAACAACAGTAAAAGCAGTCACGCTGATACAAACTGTTAATGGCAGCGAACAAGGTCCCCTGTGCTGTAGTAAGTGATCAAATTACTGCCTGTTTCTCGCCCATCATAGTGCTTTGGAATACAACAGTTTTCCTTTTTAAGACTGCATTTGTGTTGTAAACATGGCCGACTGTGACGGTTGTGTATAAGCAGGTTATGTAAGTCTCATTATACAGTGCATGGGGGAAAGATGCACTCGTATCGATCCAGTTCTGGTCACATGACGCTCAGTCTTTGGATGTGGAGCGGATGCAAAGGGAAAGTGGGGAGGGAGACAGAACTGGTGGGAGAGTCAGCAGGAGAGAAAAAAAATGGATTGAAGTAGGAGAGCCAGGGTAAAAAATGTGGCTTGGATAAGATGGGGGATGCAGAAAATTTGCTGAGCAAGAGGTTTCTTGGGAGTTTGAAATGAAAAAAAGTAGAATTTGTTTTCAAAAAGGGCACAGAGGGGACCCAACTACCCCTCCCTCGTACAGAGGAGCTATCCCATCAGCCTCCAGGGTGGATCTGATGACCTCACGCCTCTGACCAGCCAATCGATACCGAGCTGGCAAGAGTTCTGTGGCTGTGACCCCCATTCACTGTTAGTTTGTCAACCTTATCTATGTCAAATGGACTTCCACACACATAAACACAGCATGCTCTTGTGTCTGTGTGGGTGTGTGTGTGTGTGTGTGTGAGGGCGTGTGTGTGTGTGTAGTGGTAGTGTCAGAGGCCTGTGAACTGAGATAAGTGGCTGTGGCTTTGAAACGTTTAACGTGTCAAAATGCTTCTCCCATAAAGCCTTTTTGTTACAGAGCAGCAGTCCTGGTGGTGTGTATACACCACTCTGTAATCTACTGTAATGGCCTCTGTTACACCTCTGTTCCCTCTTATACCAGCCAAAGTGTTATAGTGTAGTCTCCAATTCTCAAAACTTTCAAAATAATTTGAAAACATTTTCCCCTCTGAGCTTCTTTTACATGCTGCTGCAGATTGTTTCACTGTTTATCTGACCTCATTACCTGAGGTTAAGTCGATGATGCACACTTTCCCAGCCTAGGCTTCAGGGTTACGTTTAAAATGCCAAAACAAACACACCGTTTGCCAGTTCATCCATGCAGGCCGAGTGTGTGTTTCTGTTTGGATACGCTCTTTACTCTGCAGGCTCTGGTGAAAGGTTAACTAACACCTAATACGCCGCTCTCCGCGCGTAGGAAATATTTTCATGTGATACTTATTTCTGCTTCACAGCAATCAGTGAAATGTTAGACTATTGTTATTCAGTAATGTGCACCGTGTTTACCATTGTGAATTGTACCATTCCTACGACTGCTTGTGAAGCTGTTTTTGTACTTTTTTTTATTCACATACACAGACCGTTATCTGTACGACTACTTTGTTTAAGAAAACTGTATGGATTTTGGTGCTAGGCAGACAACCAAACTCTTTCAAACAGAAGTTTTAACAGACTTTTTTTATACTAGATATTAAAGGAGCAATATGTACATTTAACACCTAGTGTTTAAAATGGGTACTGCAGCCCAAATTCAAAACATTGGAGAGCGCTCCTCTCTGGAGTCGACTTGAATGCAGGTTGACATGTCATAGACACAGAAGCTTCAGTGTTTAGCCAGCTCTGCATCGGTCTTGAAACCTTTCTGTGTACTAACCTCTCTCCTGGTTTCAAAAGTATCTCCAATACTTATCCTGGTTTTACCACGTTTCTGGTCGTGGAGTTTATTAGAAAATTGCAGAGGCTTTTTAGGTCCTCATTTTTGTCTGAACCAGTTCAATGGCTTGCTTCCATCACTGCAACAACTGTCGGTTTGCCGTTGACCTGGCAAACCGAGGGGCGTTCACAACGGCCGTTTTGGGGTGCCTTAAAATCGCCTGCTTTTCTAGCCAAAATGAAAACAAACCATTCTGCACCGTTATCGAAACTAAGAGGAGGACATACATGCTGCTGCAATGTTGACAGAGAAGGCAGCACCCCCAACATAGCATGATTCCTAAATGCCTGATGATATAAGGACATTTTATGAATTCATTCAGTAGATATCTTACATATTGTATTTGTAAGATATCTCCTATTCTATTTGATTCATATTTTTATTACTATATTTCTACTGCTGTATTGCATATTTTGGAGCAACTGAGACAATCGAATTTCCCTCTGGGATTAATAAAGTATTTCTGATTCTGATTGCTCTTTTAATTATGATGCAGTCGTCCTTGTTGGATCAAGGAGAAGTGAGAAATAGGATGAAAATGTAGAATATTCAAATTTCCCCAAAAACTGTATTAAAATCTTTTTCTCTAGTCAAATATTTAGATTTATTATGTCATACATTGAAAGCTGCTAGCAACCATAGGCCTATTAGTGTTAACCATGTCTTCATATACAGTACACTGCTCTGCCTGCCAGACACATG